GATGACTCCTGTTTTTTTCTTTTCATGCTATTGGGTCTTTTGGTTTATTTAAGATGTTTTGGAGGGTTTGTGTGCTACGGCGATGCCATGTGGTTGTAATAGTCTGTTGGTGGTTTCTGAGATGTTTCTGATGTATGGCAGTGTGATCCTTTTCATAGCTTGTGTTGGTTGTGTTGTAGTAGGTTGAGGGGTCAGGCACTTTAAACATCCAGAATAAAGTTGTGTGGATATCCATTTTGTCGGAAGATGTTGTATAGGTGGTCTGTTTCCTTCTTCTGCTGTTCTGGGTTGCTGCAGTGTGTTTGTGCTTGTCTGAATAATGTTCTTACCCAGCTCCTCTTGTAGGATATTGGGTTGTTGCTTTGGTAGGGAGGATGATGATAGTTTGGTCCATCCTTAGGCTACTGAGGGCTGCTCTGTCCTCTGCTTTGAGTTGGTGCTGATACAATGTTCTTCTGATCTGTGGTGTGATTTTCTGCTTTACGTTTTCTTGGGTCTCTGTGTTAAGTCCTGTAGTCCTAAATGCTGCTTCTAAGGCTGTGCAGAATTCTAGCTGATTAGCATTGTCCATGTTATATTTGAGGCCTTTCTGGAGGATATTGTGCTCTGCAGTGGATAGTGGCTGGCTGGACATGTTGAGTACCCATTCTGGTTCAGGTACCTCTTTGTTTCTGGGGTTTAGTTTGAGCAGTTTAGTTTGAAGTTTTGTTTTGCTTTCCTCAGCTTGTCTTCGGGATGTGGTCTTGATGGTGGTTGGCAGTGTATTTGTATGCTCTGGGGTCATGGTTTGTTCTAGTTGCTCCTTGAGGTTGTCTATGGTACGCTGGTATTTGTTGAGTCTGAGGTGTGCATCCATGATCATTAGTCATAAAATTTTATGGCTGTTTTGTTGTGCTATTTTCCATCCAGCTGTGCAGTTTATTGGAGATTTGTATCTGACGCTGGTGGACAGGCTACGCTGTTGTAGGCATTCATGCAGAAAGAATAGTTGTTCCTTGGTGGAGGTTTGCCTGCATGCAGATTTCTCCCATCTGCATGTTTTCTGAAGCGTTTGACGACCATATGTGGTACCAAACTTACTTTAGGAAATGGGGGAAAATAATAGTCTTTATGGCCTTCCATCTAACTAATGACTTGTGTGGGCCAAGAAATTAAATGGCCTCAACGCCCACACAAACAGACCACGATATACTTAAGAAAACTAAGTATCTTAGAAACCATTAATGCAGGCTGCTGTGGGAATGTCCCTGTGGGTTTCTCAGAGCATGACTTCACCCTCTGGAACAGGGAATTAGTCTGGATCAGGTCTGATGCTGAGGGTTGCTCCTTCTCTTCCTTGACGGGCTGACAACCTTTCTACCATTCCATTTGTATTTTAGTTTCCATCACTCCCTGAGGTTGTCCCAGACAAGTCAGCCTTCTTTATGTCTAAACATGCTCTAAAATGATGGAGAAAGGCATTGTTCTCAGGGGGTTCCTGAGCAACAGGCAGATTCAGTGTGGTACCAATAGAAGCAAATATGTGTAGCTCAGGGTTGAACTGTGGAGTCCTTGGGGTTCTTTAAGCTTGGTTGTTTTCTTGCAAATGTTTCATTACCTGGCTAGGTAACATCTTCAGTGCACTGGGTAATGAAAAGTTTGCAAGAAAACAACCAAGCTCAGAGAACCCCAAGGACTCCACAGATTCAGTGTGTGAGCAATATCCTCTGTTCCCCTTTCTTTTCCCAGCACTCCAAGGTCACCTACACCTATTTCCAGATCTCTTTCACTCCATCTCCTCCTGGAACAACAATGTAGAACCATCTCGCACAAGAGGAGGAGGAGGGGATTGTGTACAGTGACATTATGTTTCAACCCAAAAAGGAACAGCAAAATAATCCCCTGATTGCAGCAAAACGTAGCTTCTGATTGGGAACGATTCCTCTTCCTCACACCAAGAATCTTTATAGACAACCTTCCCCAACCCCTTCATGTGTCTCTCTTGGTCCAGTCTCTTCTTGGGCATAGATATGGAAATCACCCTTGAAAAAATGATTAGGTGCAACTCCGCTACAATTCTTGGCAGGAGAGAAAGTGCCTCATATAGGGGGAAATCTTTTGCACCATCCTATTCCATGAGTCTCAGTTCTACCTC